TGTAATATTTGAAAGAATATGTATGATTCTAAATAGGAGTAGAATGCTATATCTTTACACTGGGCCATCTAGTCTGTCTGCCTATGGCACATATTAAATTAAAGACGAAATGTGGGGCACAGAGTAATTATAGACAGGAGGACTTACGACACGAAATTACAGTAGAATAAGGAACTAAAGTTGCAGAAAAATATTTTCGCATGACACTTTCAACTTTGGACGTAAAAACTCATAAAAATATACATTAAACTTGTAGTTTCAAAGAGACTGGATACCATCTGTCTGTGTTGTCCCAAAATCTCATGTCTGAAATGCCTAGGAATACTTGGTAGAACTCAGTAAGGGTTAGAAGGATAAGTATTTAAAAAGTGATAACATCTATAGAAAAACGCATAATATTTTCATATATATTCACTAATATATTCAAATAACATTTACTGAAATTTTTCTATTTTCCAAATACTGTTAAATGCAAAGGATACCTTCAGAAATATTTCTCTACGACTCCAGTTACAAGGTGTGACTTTCCTCAGACAATTGCTGACAAGCTCTTTCTTGATTGTGGCTTCCAAGGACCATGTATAAAAATCCTTAAGAGGGATTTAGAATTTTCTTGTGCTTTCCAAAATGCAGAGCTAAGTGTAATGCCAAGCCATATGTTACCATTTAAATAACACTCAAAGTTAGAAATTTTTTAACAAAGTGGTAGGTAATGTCCCAAGATTCCTGGCCCACGCTACCCAGTTGTTTTGTTTTAATGCAAAGGAGACATGTATGCAAGCTGAGGTAAGACCTGATTCCGAATCTTTGGATCAGTCAACAACAATCTATCTTTTTGATAATGAATCAGTTCTTCCTAGTTCAATTTTAAAATGTGTTCAAGTAAACATGTTGTCTGATAACAGGCACCATTAAGACCATGTAAAATCGTACCTTCTGATAAATCATGAAGTTCTGGCAACCCTCTTCGTGCCCCTGCCTTTCCAGTAAAGACTGAATTGAAAGATTCTGAATATGCATCTGTGAAAGAGTCAATTCATCCTCATCTTAAAAATCTGAAGTCCTATCAAGGATCACTGAGCAAAGCTCTCACTTCAGAGACTAGACTTTCAGCCAGACCACTCCACAATATGTTTGCTTTTAAGGCTGTGGTCTCAACACGCTGCTCTGTTCTGGCAAATGATGCCCACCACTTCTCCCCTCAAGCATATTCTTTAGAAAGAAAAGAACCAAAGAACTTTTCATTTGCAGAATTTTACTGAGTATGCCTAGGGAGGACAAAGAATTTTTCTAATAGGAAATGAAAATGCTAATGTGGATATTCTGTTCAAAAGTGCTTTGTTCAGAAAGGAAATATGGTATAGTGAAAAGGCTCTGCAGTGGGCAACTGTGATTCGCAGCTCTACCCTCTCCCTTGTTAGTGGTGTCACCCTGAACCAGCCACTCTCATCTCCCGAGATCACAGTTATGTCATGCATACAACTGAGTCAATAAAATGTCCTGCTACCAGGAGAATGCCAAGAGCTCTTTACATCTGGGCTCGGCTTTCTGAAGTATAACTTTACATACAAATAAAAATCAAAGTGGTGAGAAACATCAGCAGAAGTGGGTGGCAATTTGGTTTAGTTACATAATGAACACACAGAATTCCACTTCTAGCCAAGATCCAGTAAGAAGAACCAGATTGGAACAGTTTCTGCAAAGTATTAGACTTCAGGACAGTGAAGAAAAGGAGCCCCAGGGAAACAAAGGAGTCCAGGCCCTACAAACGTCCAAGCTCACTGCTCTGGATGGTTTCCAGGGCTTGGCCCAAGACAGGAAACCACTGCAGAGTCCGGGGAGACCCGAGAGGCAAGAATTCACCGAACAGAGAATTGGTGGAGGAGAGTTGCTGTGAAAGAGAAGCCACAGATCTGCAGAGTGAACCCTGGAACTGCAAATGAGTAATGATCACTGCATGCATGTGGAAGAAATCTAGGCCAGGGAGCAAAAAAATCACCTCAGAGTAACTGTGCCTAGAGTTTTCACAGGGGTCAGAAGGCCCATTCCCATTATCAGGGGGATGTTCAACATTCACTGTAGATTACTGAAACAGGTCCTGCCTCAGGAAGGGGGAATAATTGAGTATAATACAGACAGAAACTGCTCTGCTCACCCAAAACAAATCTTAAATAAAAAAGTGTGAAAAGCCCAAATCCAAAAGGATCAAACTCATGCCAGGTAACTTAACTACATTCTAGAACAAAGCTTGAGAATATTTATAGTATATACAAACAGACAGCATGCCACAAGGTAAAATTCACAATATCTGCCATTCAATTCAAAATTACAAGGCATAAAGTGATGCAGGAAAACATGAAATATAATGAAGAAAGTAAATCAAAAATAAGCCAGAGTTGACAAAGACGTTTGAGGTACCCAATGGAGGATATTCAAAGTTTTTGGGATGTTCTATAAGTTCAAAAGTTAACATGCAGAATATATGGGGGGAGAAAAAGCCCAAACTTACTTTTTAAATATGAAAGCTAGACTACATGAGATGATGAGATGAAAGTCAGCCAGATGATGTTAAGGGTAGATGGAATTACAATATGATACATTATAATTCATTGCTCAAAACTAGTGGTAAAGAGAAAATCCTAAGAGCAGGCAGAAAAAAGGGAGGAAATCTCAAAATCAGTAAGGCATGTCATTTACACAGACCCAAAGACAACAATTACCAGCTTTCTTAATGGAAATAACACAAATAAGAAGACAATGGAGCATTACCCTTATAGTAGTGGGGAGGAAAAAAACCTCTGTCTAGAATTCCACATCCAGCAAAAGTGCCAAAGGTGAAATTATATAAAACACGGTAGATGTTGGTAATGGAAAGAGTTCTAGAACCTGTCTCACACAGATACTGACAGACAACTACATTGTTGTAAGGGTCTCTTTACAAATAAGATTCTTATTTGTAGAGTAATATAGCATCGTTTCAGCTGGTACATCGTTGGGAAAAGTTAAAAATGTTTTCTATGAACAGTAATGTAACCCTGAAGAAACAAAATAGCTGTAAGCCAACAAAGGAGAAGAGAATCATAGAAATCTAATTGGTCCAAGAAAAGAAACACAAAACAACAAATGAGATAAATAGAAAAGAAATAATATGATGATAGATTTAGATATAGATGTAAGTGTCTCAGTAATCTCCTCAAATGTAGAGTTTTGGGCCAGAGATTTAGCTCAGTGCTGCCGATGCAAGGTCCTGAGTTTGATCCCCAGTACAAAAAAAAAAAAAAAAAAAAAAA